GTTCATTACAGAAAGTCAATTGCGAGCACGAATAGCTCAGTGGTAACGTCTTTGATTACAGTGCTGGGTGATCAGGGTTCGAATTGCGGATGGGATATGATTTACCTCAAGACCTCTGATACGCCTTCCTAACGAGTGTCAGAAAGAGTGAAACCCAGGTCTAAGGCTTACTACAGAACACTTCCAACCATCTAACAAATTGAACTCTGTTCTATATATGCCAGACATATTTCAAACACTTTCAATTATTTCTCATACAATTTCTTCTATAAACAAATTCGTCATATTTATTTATTTACGTATCAGTAGCGATACAAATCTTAGCAGGGAGGAAAATCACTAAAAGCATTCTCATTTAATGAAAGCTATCAAGATTCTTGACATTTTTATTCCAGTCACCATAGTGATTTTATCAGACATTCAGTAACATCAATCAACAATTTAGGCGAGATTTGTTGTAGAATTTTTTCTTCAAAAAGGCATTATGTTTCCCCATTTTTTTCAGTACTTCAGACTATTCAAATAAAGCAAATATTTTTATGAATAAGATATATTTACTTTAGCCTTTTTTATATAAAAGAAGTGGTTTATTGTTTCTTTGTAATCATTCCCAAGTTCCATTCAAAATTTTAGGTAACAGTACCGAGATAATACTTATTCCATTTATTTAAGTAGTAACTGTCTTTCTGTGGAAAATGTAGGTGCATAATTAATAGCACTAACTGATGTACGTAAATTCACGAAAATACGCTGTCTTATGATTTCATTTCACCAAGTATTTTAAATTTCTTGAGATGGCATTTTGATTTAACTACTGAATTGAACATGGAGATCTGATAGGAAAGGATAAACAACAGAATTACGTGTCGTTAGTACTGAATTTTACTAACACTAATAATAAAAATGCATACTCACTACCTTTCTTCAATGTTTCTAACTTTCTGATCACTATGATCTTTTAAATTTCTCACTTCAATTTTCGAGTAATTATATAAATGGCACCTACCACAGTTTAACCTCAATTCTGATATCATACTAGAAATAATCCAAAAATGTAAAGGAAATGTATCAAATAACACGTTTATGTGTGAAGTTGAGCTTTGTAAAACTTTTTAATCCCCCATTAAAAGGATTTCATTCATTTATTTAATAGTCAGTGATTATTTTATTTTTTTTTCTTTAGTTCTTACAAACGATTAATCCGAAAACTCTTATGTCTTTGCCTGCTGTTATTGAAGATTGCCAAAGAGTCTTCTACGAATACTTGGTGACTTCATTTAAGAAATTGTTTCTTATTTCAATGGTGGGGTTATCCGAGATAACTTTCGGTTGGCAAATTCCTATTAATGCGACGGGTGCTAATTCAAGGTGAAATGGAAATCTGAATCACAGCAAGATTCGAACCGATAGTTACTAACTTACTAGTCCAACTCTGTATCAGCTAGTTCTCCAAATACAATGGCTAACCAAGTAAGTAATCATTTCACCACCGATTAGAGTGTTTTCAGAATCTAGATTGTCAGCCTCAGTCATCACCCAATAAATTAACATTCGTCTATCAGCCTACAACTACCTCTCATATCCTCACAGTCAGTCAGCAACCTGTTTGTCTTTTTATAATTCAATAAATATCAGGATTGATGGATAAAGAACTAACCATTGAAACGATAAACGGACAGTTACATATCAGTTATTCACATGAAGACTAGGTATTTATTATCCGTGACGATAACACGGGTTTATTGTTGTTCTTTAAGATCGAAGCTTATGAAATATTTTCCACAATAAGAAAATGTTTAGAACCTTGATCTATACGGAAGAAAGTATCGATAGCAGAAGCAAAAGAGCTATTTAAAGTTGTTCCAGAATGAGTTTATTTTTAGAGTGAAATCAAAGCAATAAAAAATCAGCACCACTGTGTAACTGAACTATCACTTTAAGCGAGTATTAGAATGCCAAAGCCAATTTTACCTGAAGTATATGACTGCCTAAATAAGAAAAAAATCACCATGTTATTCAGCTTACAATTGCTCCAACAAGTTAGAAACATATTTCTCGAACTTCTGCTAATTAATTCATAATGTCTAACAGTGTAAGATGTCTCATAGATTACTGGTCACATTATAAATTTATTCAGTAAATTTGGCTTATATGACGATGTCACATGTCAAGTGATTCGCAACAAATAAACTCGGCAACATCTTTCAAGTGAAGAGAGCGGTAAGACAAGCAACCAACTATCAGCGATCATATTCCTGATTGTGGAGGGCTGGATCGTGGGGTAGACCGAAGGGTACGAGGAGACAGGCCTAAGTTGGACCAGTAAAAAGACTCACAAAAGATCTGAACTTTTGATGGACGATCCACTTAATTCCATGCAACAAATTTGACAAAGGGATTTTGTCAGACTGCGAGCATGCATTTTGCCTGAAGCTTTCACTTTGTGTCTCCTTAGGTAAGACAAAAAGTCATTTCAGAAGACTTTAAGTGTCCACGTCTAAGTATAAAAATTCCACAACTCCGAATTTGACACTTATGTAATGCAATAAAAAAATAGTGTCAGGCACGAACTAACTAACCTTCTTTGAACTAGTAAATAAACAGTTTTCTCCATCCTTATTCCACCAAGCTTTACTGTTATTACTCTTCTTATATTTATAATCCTTTCACTTCTTTTGTCGTAATTGTAAACATTATTTAAGCTCTGTGACAATTATTTTCTTTTGTTTCCCCCCTCACCATGCTAATGTTAAGAGAATATTCGATTCAATACTACATGACATCGTAGAATTTCCAAAATGTATCGACAATACCGTTTGAAACAAACCCACCGTTATTATTAGATTTATTATTCTTATTTTGTACCTTGCACATTTTTGACTTTATTCCTAACGTAAATGTAGAAAAATTCCTGTTGTTAACTTTCTTTATATTTTGAGTAAATTAGATACAATATTGTGTGAAATGCTGAGAATTCCATTCTAAGTACTGTTTTTGGAATATAGCGGATTATTGTTATTATTTCCATGTCATACAAACTCAAAGATCTACAGGCGAAAACCAACAAGTCGGCAGGAGACATATTGAAGATAGGACTTCAAATGAACGTAGATAAGACAAAGGTGATGAAGATATCTAACCATCAACAAAAAGCACCAATCACCATCATCGGGAGAAGTCTAAATCAAATTACTCCTCCCACTTATCTAGGCATTATCGTTTCAAGTATTGGCGGTACGGATGGTGTCAAACGCAAGATCGGAAAAGCGAGACAGGTGTTCATTACACTGAAATAAGTATGAAAATATGCTGCAGTCAGCGTGAGGAGAAAGATTCGAATTTTCAACACTAATGTCACAAAAAAAACATCTCCAATAGGCTCCAGACTTTTATCTCAGCAGGGATACAGAAGGCTCCTTGGCATATACCAACTTACGCTATCTCTGGTATAAACGTGATATCTAGCTGTCGACCAAAGGGCGTGTGTACTGCTCAACAGTTCACTCTGTCCTCCTTTACGGCTGTGAAAGTGGAAGATACGAAAACACTAGCTGTCTTTGATCATAGATGTCTGCGTTCTATCTTTCGTGTGACGTGGTGGTATAACAGGGTGAGCAATCTTGAGATTAGGCTTCGGTCGAGTAACAGCTAGGTAAGGAGAAGAAGTGAAAGCTTATAGACAATTGTGGAGCCAACAAAAAGGACTTGGAATCTGAGGGAATAATAATATTTTATAAAATAACTAAGCGTTTATTCAATATGCTGAATATTTTTAATGACTTTATAAACATATTACCTCTAGATATTTGATACTTTGAAATCAAGTATTTCGTTCCTATGAATTTCAGCATCTGAAGTCTTCAAAAAGGTTTTGTTCAATACTACCGACTTATGGCATACTGCTTAGATTTGTAGATGTTAAGGCCAGTAAACCAAACACGACGTACCCTAGGCTAGTCATACAAATCCTACATCTTCCTTATGAAAGCAGATTAGAAAGTTTAAACTTCTCATTGACATACCATTACCTTATTTTGGGTTATCGTCTATTATCTGGTAACTTGGATACTGACCTTCCTAACCATTTCTCTTCTTCTAGGACACCTGGGAGAGGTCATCATAAAAAGGTACTTACGCCATGGCTGATCAAGATAAGGCTAGAATTAGGATTCTCGCGTGATACTTCCAGCGACTGAAAGTCAAAAAGTCTACTTATTCATGATTTTACCACCGATTTCTATCAATTTCTAATAGCAACCATAAAACTTAATGCAATGTCTAATTAATGAGTTGATTTTCATGAAAAATCGTATAAATTAAAAAAACAGCTAAGATCCTATTCACTGACTAGTAAAACAGATAGGCTGCATAAATCAAACACGGATATCTTAACAACATAGTTCTCATCTCCTCTATTAAGACGAATTTTACCCACTAAGTCTTCTGATACAATGCATTTCAAGAATTTTCACTCGGTTTATTGGCTACATGGTTAAACTGACCTGATAAAAGTGAGAAAAAAATCACTGCTTAAACGACTATTACACCAAGAACTCTAATGTAATAATAGTTTATTATATCTGTTTGTATGTAGCCATGAAACCGGAAGTAGAAAAAGACATACTTTGTAATTAAAATACATTTATATATCAATGCTTATTCTGAATAAAGTGAACATCGCAAAGTAACAGTCCGATTATCGAAGACCCAGCATTTAAGGTGATACTTACTTAAGCTTAACAACCAATATAACAAATATCATTAAGCAGAACACATCATATTGAAGAATGTCAAATGGCTTAAATTGTGAATCGCATTATAGTGTACTGGACCATGACATTTAAACATAGTTAAAAGCATCTCCTCTATAAAAAGAGAGAAACGTATTGATAACTTTAACTATTCACTTTATTCCAGTAAATTCAATTACTCATACATTTGACAACTATGATAAGTAGCATTCTCCCAAAATGAAACTAAGGCATAAGCCAATCGCAACAGAACTCTATATTTCTTTTAATAAATAATAAATATAACATAAAACCATAAACACAATTTCGTTAAACTGATATTAGGAGTTATGATGTATGTGGTATCAATTTTGACGTTTACAATAAATACAACAATACATATTGCATATCATCTGTACATAATGGTATTTTCTTTTTACTTCTTTGATCTTCTTCCTGTATTCCAAACTTCACTTGATCGACGGTTACATGAATCACTGGATCTAGATATTTTTTGTAATAAAATCAAAATAAGGGAACTAATTACTGTGTGAGAAAATGTCTCACAATAAGTCAATCAAATTCCTTTATTCACTGGTAATAATATTTCATACAAAGATTTCAATAACGATTGGATGATCAAATGATGACTTTTACGATTTTATAAGCTCCGTTTTTGTAAGTAGCCATCGTCGTGTATCAGTTTAACTTGCCGTACTCCGAAAAATGATACACAAAGTAAGGATATACAAATGCAATGATACTACAATAAACAAACATATGCAGAAGAAAAAATGATTTGATGAAGAGTAGGAAAAATATTCGGAATTTCAAAGATAGTGGTGAATGAACGAGCACATCATCATCAGTGTGAATGATTTCCAGTCATTTCACTAACTCTTTAATCATTGGATGTTAGCAACCCAAAGAAATCAAGTAAACCTACACAATTTTTCTTCCTTCACGTTCCCAGTGGAACATAGGACTTCAAGCTAGTGGCTTGAAGTTTCTGTAGCAGTGTTTATTTTACAGGATGGGGTTGCTAGCCTCATACCCAACCTTTCCTCTTTACCAGCATTATTTCTGGCTTAGTGAGGTAAAGAAGTGCGTCGACCGAGGATCGAACCCCGGACCATGTGTATGGTCGGCGAGCGTCCTAACCGCTATGCCACCGACGCACCAAACCTACACAAAATCACATGATTCATGCCAATAATTAAGGACCTGATAGAGTGGTATCTTGTTTCTGTCTAATCACTCCAAACTCACTCCTACTACAACTAGCATTAGTTACCGACGAAGGAGATAAGTTAGCGTGCTTGATACACGTTACACCCATCTCAGTCTTTCTGGTTGGAATTGTATTACGAGAAGTTTAAGTAATTTTTAAAATAGATACTCTCATCGTCCTAAAAAACGTGATTAAACCATTCATATGTGGAAAGTTCAATTTAATTTTATCCCTAATTATATATTCTGCATAACATTCACCACGGCAGAATAAGTTGGACGATTGTGTGAGTGACGTGATATGACTATGAGCAATAATTTGTGCTCGAAATGTCATCAATTAATATTGCTGTACAACGCTGTGTGATTTATCAAAATAAAATCTTATCGAAGATGGAAGTTCATATCTTTTCAACTATGATACGATCACTTACCTTATTATAGTGACTAATAAATTACAGTGTGTAAGCTGGTTGCCTACCTGTGCAATATTATCCACGAGTAACGTGCCGATTATTAGTAACCGCAAAGACCACAAGACAAAAATTGTGTGTTAAGAAGAAATAAAGTGTCAGACATCAGTTTGAGGTCCATGAGAGCCTAGTAACAATCAGTTAGGAACCCTGAACGACATAAGTCATTCATTTCGACAAAAATATTCACTTTTTATCTCCTTAAGGATTCTCTTATTCTTTACTTAGTTGGTCTCGTTCATTTATGCTCGTCTTGTCTAGTCTGATATCTTAGCATCTTTGCAAGTTTACTTCTGTAACTTTAAGAACAATGATGACTTGAACTGACAGTTTAACTGAACATTAGATTACTACGGATGTCCCGTAAATATAGCAGGGATGTGTTACGTCTACATCTCCAACATTTTGTCACTTTATCTCAAACTGTCTTCTGCACATTTATATCCATCCTTTCATTCATTCTTTTATAGATTCGTCATTGCTCTGATAATAACTCATTTATGAGCACTTTGCTATGATATGACGTAGTCCTGTGTCTACAGTACTGATTAGAGTTATTTTGTGACTTATTTTTTACCCCTTAGAGAGTCACATGAATGAATTCAAGGGGAAATAACATCCAAAGTTATGCATGAGTTACTAATTATTATCGTCCCAAGAAAAACAAAAACTCTCATATTCCGAATTTTCAATAATTCTAAATATTGGTAATCAGTCGGTGTAAACGTTAGTCCATCCTGTTTGATTTTTCTTCTCTGAATTCACTACCTCCCAACCAAGTAAATAAACGTTGTTTAGATATAGGAGTATCAACTGTCAGAAACACATAAAGTCCAAGACTTTATTATCTCACTTTGCCATTACGTGTGTGACCTAAGACTGCTTTATCAGTGTAGTCAAAAGTAGTGATTCAAATAAAAGTATAAAAGAAACTTATTTGGCTTTTATTCGATAATTACAAGATTATCTAAGGTGTAAGTAAATATTAAAGAAAAACGTGAATTTTAAGTAACACAAAACTAATGCAACACATTCTATTTTACAATCTAAAAAAATAAAAGCAACAAACCTTCCCCGTTTATTTTGAATCCCTGGCTGAATAGTTTTGCCAGACAATTTTGAATGATCTAATCTACAAGAGGGAAATCAAAAGGCAAATACAGGTGGATGTTAAATTTTTTAATGAAGAGAATGACAGAAGGTATTAAAATAATAAACATATTTTTTTTAATTTGCCTATTGATGTAGGAAGAAAAGACTTGATGTCTCATTCTTAGGAATTTAATCAACGCACAGAAAACTCTCGCTTAATAACCGACAAATGCTTACATTACATTTGGCACATAGTTATATGAGATTAGTAGGAACTATTTTCTTAATTTCTTTTCTACTGCTGCATTGGAGACTGAACCAGTAAATAAGCAGAACTATTGCCATCATATGTTACTACATGTAGTTACAAAACCATTTAATGAGGTATACTCAGAAAATCTAGTGCGCTGTTCATTTACACAGTCTCACAACTAAATAAACAAACAAGTTATTTATTATTATTATTGTTCCTAGAGGAACATAGGGCTTCAGCTGCGCACCTCCATTGCCTTCGGTTTTCTGACAACTTTTTCAACCTGCTCCAGGTCTGTCCACATACTTTCATCTCCTCCTCGCATGACCTCCTCCAAGTCACCCTTGGACGACCGACTCGCCGCCTCCCTTTCGGGTTCCACTCGAGGGCTTGTCTAGTGATGTCACTTGATGGTTTCCTCAGCGTATGGCCAATCCATCTCCATTTCTTTCTGCCTATTTGTTTCACAATCGGTTCCTGATTGGTTCGCTGCCAGAGATCCCTGTTGCTGATCTTTTCTGGCCATCTGATCTTGAGTATTGAGCGGAGACAGTTGTTAATGAAGGTTTGAAGTTTGTTTGAGATGCTCTTTATGACTCGCCAAGTCTCTGATCCGTATAGTAGCACTGACTTCACATTGGAGTTGAAAATCCGGATCTTATTTTTGATGCTGATTGCTGTTGACCTCCACACAGATTTGAGAATAATGAAAGCTTGTCTTGTTTTTCCGATTCTGGCTTTGATGTCCTCGTCAGTTCCGCCTGTAGTTGAGACGATGCTTCCCAGGTAGGTGAAGGAGGTTGTTTCTTTCAGGTTCTTCCCATTTATGCTTATTGTGGTCTGTTGGTGTTGTTGATGTTGGCTAGGAATCTTCATTATCTCTGTTTTATCTATGTTCACGTGAAGTCCTATCTTTGATGCTTCTTCTGCCAACAAACAAAAGACCAGTAAAACACACTGCTGACATGGTCATTCTGCAGAACCTTGGAGGTTCATATTCATTTTCTGATGTATGGCAGCATCTTAATTAATGAGATGAAAATAAGAAAGGACAGTTTGATAATGGGAGAGTACAAAATTAAATAAATGGTTCCATAGTGCCCAAGTTTTATACTTATATTAAATAAATGGTTTTTGGAATAATTTTAAAGTAGAGTAAAAGAATAAAATATCAAACATTTACCAGATACTAATAGCTAAAAAGTTTCAATCAAACTAGATCACATAATGGTTAAACAAAACTAATGCGTAAGCAGAATAAGGAACAACAAACACGTTTTAAACAGGAAAATATATGAAAGATAACCAGGAGACAAAATACAACCTCTTGTGAAAGTTATAAATACCAGCTGATTTCCAAGATTTTATTTTAAAGTGGGACCTCACAACACAAATCGGAGAAAAGATTTAATTTAACTAAACAGAGACTTATTCTACACTGAACTGACTTTAATCAACCCAGTGTATCTACAAAATCTATGGATAAGAAGTTAAAAATAAAGGAATTTATCAATTAAAATTTCATTATTAAATTTAAGTTTAGTACAGGAGTGAATACACAACAAACACGACATCTACTGACTGACAGGAAAATCCCTGTAGAGTTTTACAATCAATTGTAGTGAATTAAACCACCACACTTGAAGAAGCCACTCGAAATAAGGGGATAAGACTATAATGATACTATAATTAACAGACATGTGTGGGAGGCGATAATTTAATGATGAGTAAGCAAAGTATTCAGAATCTGAAAGATGATGAAGAATTTCCGAACCATGTTACAAGAGTTGTCAGACGTTGATTACCAGAATCACATGGACAACAATCACACAATTTGTCACATTCTCAGTCCAATATAATTTATGAAATGCTTTCAGGTAGTTAAAAATTAGTTGGCTTAAACATCTAACTGTCAGGCTTACCTAGAAGTTTCCAAATTTATTACTTTATCTGCACTGAAAGATGCAGGAACCCAGCTTTGTAAGTCAAACAAAAACTGTTCACGTGAGTCAGGAGTGTTCAGGTACAACCGTCCAGGTGTGTACAGGGAACACAGTTGCTAAAACATAAGTGAGAATACACACAACTTACTTGACTATTTGGACTAGGTTTATCATTGGTGTACCAAAGTTGCCAATCACGCAAACCCAAATGAACAATTGCCAGCCTCACATATTGTTCAAATGTGCAACAAATTTCGTGGATACTCAAGTCGTGATTTAAGACATAAACACCGTTATCACGATCAAAGACGTACACCACTGAAGTACCATTAAGACACTTTTCCAATTCATACGCACAGGGCCAATTTTCGAAGTCGGAACCCAGTAAACTGGACAAAAATAATTTCTCATTACCACTTATCTCCTCCTCTCCAGAAGAATTTGTGAATTCCAATCTTACAGATTTGAATTCTTCTAGGCTATTTATTTTAATCCTTCCAATTGTACAAGTTCGTTCTATAAGTTAGTCATTATCATATTGCAATTAACCATTGCAAACATTGCACCAAACAAATTCTATCCCGTTAGTCGTTAGATAAAAGTCTTTTAAATCCTGAGGTAATTTGAGGCCAGTCGATAATTCCCACTTCCGAATTCCATCTTCTGTAGCAGGTTCATTCGTATTTAAACACACATCGTTCACCCCAGGTTTAGCAACTTTTATACTAGTACATCTTTAAATATTACCAATACCTATCAACTCCTTTAAGTCTTGGAACACTTTAATAACCATGTAGTGTTTGACTGCTTGATTTGTGTTCAGCCTCGCTTAAGCCACTAGAACTATCTTCGGCGATAAACTCGATAGAGAAACCAATCTGTGTTGATCCCAACGGATTCACCACACATACGACTGTCCAAACAGCTAGTTGGCAGAAAGAAGTGATTATTGTCGGTCAGTGTACAGGTATTTTAGAATATTACATGCGAGAGAATACGTACTTTTGGAAGTGTTACCTCAATCTAACAAGATGGTGGACTGAAAAACAAGGAAGAAATATAAACTAAGAACCTGTCAAACACATAAAATGAACCTGTGTTTGGTGGTAAAAATTTTCTCAAATGAGAGGAGCATAAGTAAACAGACTGTTTAAATGCAAGCCCCACTCATCGCACCTATGATTTTCAAGTCCAACGCTATGTTTAGGGTTAAAGCTAGCATGAGGAAACAAATGATCTACTTAATACTACTTTTTATTAATCTTCTGCTTGGTTGCTTTAAGACCACTCGACTTGTTACAGTTTGTTAATACCACAACTCCCCTTCACCATAATTTGTCCTCATAACTCTAGCAAGCAATAACTAGTGAATCTATAGGAACTAAGTAGCCTTAGACAGTTACTTAATTCAAGAACTAAGAACCTCGTTGCTTAGTTCACCACATAGTGTACCATGAATATTCAACACTATAGCTTCCTCTTATTATTTTGAAACATTTTAAAAAATAAAATATATTAGTGTAGCTTATCCGAAAGCGTCGATGACAAATAAAACAGTCGCGTTTATGCAACTTTACGCGCTTTGAAACATAAATAACAACCTTCCCGAAATTATCTGAAAAGTCTGCAAAAAACATAAGTAGAAGGTTATTACATATGAAGTGTGAAAACTTATATTATTTTTACCACCTCGATGCATTAGTTTTATTATTTTCTCGGGGCTTCTCAGAGACCTACGTGGGTAGTGGGACCTTAGAACGTGTTTCTTCAAACAGAATGAAACCTAAGCATATACTGATATCAAAGATAGTTCGAAACCACGATTAAGGATGGCATTAAAACATAAATATTAGCAAAAATCAGTGAATTTCTCAGATGTACAACTGATGCATAAGAAATAGACGCCACCACCAGGTCCTACTTCTGCAAATCGAAAGACTATCCACATATTCCTAAAGTTTAGTCAAGTTATTTCGCAAGACACATCAATTTAATTCTAGAAAGATGTGGTTTCAATCATGAGTAAAACCACTAGACATGTGATCCAGCCAGCTCATCCTTTATCTTAGGTACATCTTATATGAGCATACAGCTTTCACAACTGATTTCTCATTGTTTTACAGATGTATTATGTAATTCGGAAAACGTTTTTAAGTAGCCTTAACTTCTTATTTTGTAAGCACAGCTCCTTAAACGATAACCATGTGATTTCCTAGTCCTACCGTTCATATGGACAAGTTCATGTTACTGAGTAACGTATAATTTACATAACATTAAACGCTCTAATACGAGACTACAGAAGTCCTAAGTGAGCGGAACCAGTTAGATTAAAATAGCAGTTAATGCGGGTTTAGTGCTGATAACTGACATGATGCTGAAATAATGACGAAACAGTGCAAATAACACAGTAACAGCGTAACGTAGCGTTGAAATAATACATGCAATGTTGAAAACTAACAACTACTAAGGAAAATACTGAAGACCATATTATTTTAGTATTGTTTCAGCCCAGCCTCGCTATACAAACAACTACTATTTCTGCTTTCCCTAGTACTAGTTCCCTATTATTCTAAGTTTGGAAGGATAAATAGCTTGCGACAACCAGCACTGCGTTTAACCAAACCATTTCAGAATTTACTCACTATAAAATGCTATAGTTCAAAATTAGCGAGATTTAATTCAGGATTAGAGTAAGCTTGGCCTAGGTTTGACAAATATATATACCCAGCTAGCAACGATTCCGGGTATATTCATATATGAATATATCTGTTGGCTACTCAGTATTATTCACCAGTGTCAACAGACAAATGCGTACTCAAAAAAATCAGATGATATTCAAAACGACTACAAAAGCAGTGTTTGAAGAAAATCTATGCGAATAAATTTTGATTGGCTGTTGGCTGAATGTCCTTCTCAGACCTTCGCGCTTACCAGGTGCACAATATATTTGGATTTCTCCCGGAAAGTCATGGAAACGTATTCATTGTCCAATCCGATATCCAATATCGTTTTTACGAGCTAGTATAAACCAATTTGATTTCTTTGTGCTCGCTTCTTGATTGTAAGGTATAAATTCCTGATGTTTTGCAAACTTCCGCGTAGCTCGTCCCGCCACTCGACTGTCGTAGCCTTTGGTTGACTCCAAAGGGAGTAGTGCTAGGATTAATTATATGTGGTTTGTAGTATGAGGTGTGTTAAGACTGTTACCACTGTGAACGGAGTTGATCCTTTCACCGGTTAGTCCTCCGATGTCGTCGTAAAAAGAAAAGAGATAATAATAATGTAAAGAAGTAAAACGACGAACTTAATTGTCTTCCCCCGAACGGTGTATGGGAATTTAAGGGGATGGCCCATTTGGACGCAGTCCTTGTGTCGCTGCATGATTTTCCAGCCTTCGCTTAAAGGCATCCACAGACCGTGCCATAGCTACATCTGTCGGTAAGGAATTCCAGGGACGGCAAGCACACAGTGAAAAGAAACGGAAGTGCACCCGGCTCCTTGCCCTCTGATGAGCTATCCTTCTGGGATTTCTATGAGGAAGCCTATACCTACTCAACGGCGAGACGCCTTTGTTTGGGCGATTCTGGTCATTTGCTTTTATGTAGGCAGTAATCAAATCCTCTCCTAAGCTATCGGTAGCTGTGTGAATAAGCCTAATTTCTTTAGCCTTTCATCATATGGTTTATTTCGGAGACCAACCACTCCTTTTGTCGCCCGTCTTTGGACTCTTTCCAAGAGGCTGGCGTCTCTTCTAATAATATTATGCACTTCAGGGTGTGGTCCGGCGCATGTTTTGTACAACCTTAGAAAGAGCTCAAGAGTGAGTGCACCTAAATGTCTATGTGTAAAGTGTATAACAGCGTATGTCCTCGCTACGTCCCACGTGTGTCCATCTTTTTACGTTGGAACTGGACCTAAGTCGCGCTCCAACGTTGTGCAGGACAAGCTTTCATTGCACAGGGTGTAACTTGCATCCTGCAATATACAGGTGCGTAATTTCACTACTCTGCACATTTTCAGGTTGAAAGTCATGCCACTGGTCTCCGCCCAGTCTTCCAGAAGCTTTAGATCTGCCTGCAGTCCATCTGAGTCCTCCATATCTTTACGTCTTCGGCGTATAGAAGAGTCAGGCAGTTTAGACGACATGGGGCATCACTAATAAAAATCAAAACGTCAGCTGTCCTAGGATAGAACCCTGTGACACTCCTTATGACGAGCTATGTCAAGATGATCGGACTCGATTGACCTTAGTGCAAAATAGCCTTTCAACCAGGTAGTCCTTTGACCATGACAGAAGTGTTGATATGAGTATAAAACTTCGCCACTGTGCTAGAGTAAAACTACATTATCGATAAGATTTCATTTTGAAAAATCCCCCAGTGTTGTACAGCAATTCAGAATGTAGTTGAAGATTGAACGATCAATTCATTGTTGTTTGCTCAAAATCAACTTCCCCAATTTTCGCGGAGGCATCAATACGACAGTCACCGTCTCATCGGTCGCTGTTCAGAGAGAAGTCAGCAGAAAACCGTCAGAAGTAATATTGTGATTTATTATTGTAATATTTGTTCACAGACCTTAGTGGAAACAGTGTTTATATGTTGGTGTTACAATAAAGAATTCTCGAGTGGCTAATCGTTGTTTTGGTTTTTCGTCCGTTATTACTAAGCGTTTCTGAAAACTTCAAGGAACAGCGTGAGTCCGAGTGCAGCCATAGCTGGGCATTAACGGTTTATGAGACGTGACTGACAGTTTCTGACGGTGAAATCAGTTTCTGACGGTACAACGTCAGTTTTTAAACCGTTTTGGACAGTTGGCACGAATTTGGATAGCCACCGTTCATCAATCCTGGTGCCGGTCAAGTCCTCTTTGAACAAGCAATATCTGGAACATTTCGGAGTTGGGTCAAGTTCAACAGTGCCTGGGTCAAAGAAGGGACAGAGCGTCTTGGATGCAAACAGGAAAGTAAGTCATGGTGACTTGTCTGTTAATTGTAGCGATGTGTCTGATGTTAAGCATGACATGGTTGACGTCACTGTTTCGCCGTTCAGGGATAATAGGAACATCAAACCCCCTAAATTTGAACCACGGTGTTTTGATGGAAACCCAGCTGATTATTTACAATTTGTAAAGGAGTTTGAGATCATGTTGAGTGGTTTTTTATTAACTGATGAAATGAAGTTAATGTATTTGATGAGGTATTGCACTGGAGATGCTTCAAGAGCTATACAGTGTTGTAAGTTTATGAAGCCGAAAGAGGGCTACGATGAGGCTATGAGCATATTACGTCAAAGGTTTGGAAGACCTTCAATGATTGTAAGGAACGTATACGAAGCTGTCAAAGGTGACGGCAGTCAACTTCAAGATGACTCCAAGGCACTCACTGAGTTTTTGGATAACTTGCTGATTTACAAGAATGCATTGATTTCGATGAATTGCATGAGTGACCTCAACTCGAGTTTTATACTAGAAGTAATAGCAAGACGCCTACCTACTCGATTGCAAAGGAAGTGGGTGAAGATAAGCTCACGTATGGAGGATGAGGGTATCGAGCCAAAATTTGATGATGTCCTGAAACTAGTAAAAGATAGCGTCAATCTATCTATGAGCAAGTTCGCCAGTCTATTACATCTCACCCCTAGAATAGAGCAGTCTGAGAGCAAAATGCAATCATTGATGACGAAAGGGCCTCAGAGGGGTGGATATCGAGAAGGCTCCATGATATCTAGTAGTGCACATAGACCAAGTGAGTGTAACAGGTTTCGTAGTACATCGTCAACAGATGAGTTACAAGATGCAAGACAAACACGGTTGTGTTTTACACGTTTGGAAGAGGTGCATACAGAGGTGAACTGTGAACCAGTGAGCAAGTTCAGTTAAAAGCTAAATGTAAACTCCAGGCCTGACTCCGAATTGTGTGACGATAACGGTGCGGTCAAGAAGTCTGTAGTTGTAACTGGTAAGCCATTTTTGAATAGAGAATCGCAGAATAGAGTTGCTGCTTCAGAGTGCAGTTCCGACTCCACAAGTTGACAGGATATTACTAGTCAGAGTGAAGTTATGAAACCTCTAAGGATTTGCGAGGAGGAGCCAAAATGGTCCTCTTCTGTTATTAAAGAGTTTGAAAGTGATGAAATTGACGGTAAAGTGAATATTTGTGATAATGATCATGGTACTTCACATATGTCTTTGGTTGATCATGATGAGATGAGGGATATGCCTACTACTGCTAAGTTGAACACAGGTTCTGTACAACTTGAACGTGAAGTAGAAATAAATGCAGGTGCAGTTGCAGAAGGCATGCATACTTGTGAAACCTTCAGTGTGATTGATCAGCATGTAGCTCACCTATCATCAGATGATAGTGCTAAACTTGAGCTGATAGTAAAAGACAGCAGTGGTGGTGGTCTTGCATGTAGACAAACTTCTGAAAGCCGAGCAACAACAGCTTTTGATCCACCGCTAACTTCATCAACTGGTATCAATCAGTCATCGTTGGTGCTGTCATCCACAATGAAAAAGACGCCCATCAACTCAAGTTTCTTGTGCAATGACTATGCTAGTATCAGTTCGTTTGAAAGGACGAATATCAATGGTCAGTTTAGAGAGGATAAGCCAAGTGTAAACGAGAGAGTAATTGTTAAGTTGACTTGCATGAATAAAGGCATTTCTAGTTTCAAGTTACTATTTGAATGCTATTATCTTTGGTATAAATTACTCTGCGCCTACGCTTGGTTGACCAGATACGTCGTATGTTTGTTCGTCATCTATGTTCTACGATACAATGACATGAGCGTGTTACCGTTCAGATTTCAGGATATAGCTGATAGAAGGAAATCAGCAAATGAACTCTAGGATGATTTTCCAACCTAGGGCGTCAACCTGAGAAGGGTTGTAGGCGTACTGGTGTAAGTCCTACAATTCTTCGAAGGAATCCCACCAAGAGATGATCCGCGAGTTTGTGTGTACTGTTTGTACATATGTGTGGTGTGTCATATTAATTGGTGTTTTTTGGATTCATTGTGTTTACTCGTTGTTTTCGTACCTTGTTGTTATTACATAATTTTGTTAAAATTTTCGTCGGGCTTAATTCTGAAGTTGTTTGTAGTCTTCTACATCCGTGAATGAATTGATTGATGTTAGAGACAGCAGATGGGTCATATACGCCGGGGAGGCTATTGCTGAGAATGAAATGCATACGGAGATAATTGTTAGGTGCGGTCCCACACGCCGGGGAGAAAGAGTGTAAACGACTGAGGCTCGCATACGTCACCGTTACTAGAACTGAGGCAGAATGAGTGACAAGCGATTGCAGCGGTAATTGGTGGTGAGTAGATAAGAGGATGTGCAAAGAGTATCGTGAGGTGGTGCTATGGTCACGTTGCATTCTGCAAGAGTCATTCTAGCAAGTGGAGACTGTGTTGCAAGAGGATGTGTCAAGAGGATGCCTTTAACTGGAAGGCGGAGGTCGTCATTGATGTGTGAGATTGTGCTGTGAGTATGCTCGTGGTGTGTTGGCTTTTCTGTTTGTTTTCCATTTCAGCTCTGTCCATGTGACCCAGGTTCTCGCAATGGCATCCAAGTCAACGTGTATTGGTTGTGAAGAAAAAAGGGATGGATCCGTATTTTGCCGGGGAGTGTCAATGTAGTTGAAGATTGAACGATCAATTCATTGTTGTTTGCTCAAAACCAACTTCCCCAATTTTCGCGGAGGCATCAATACGACAGTCATCATCTCATCGGTCGCTGTTCAGAAAGAAGTCAGCAGAAAACCGTCAGAAGTAATATTGTGATTTATTATTGTAATATTTGTTCACAGACCTTAGTGGAAACAGTGTTTATATGTTGGTGTTACAATAAAGAATTCTCGAGTGGCTAATCGTTGTTTTGGTTTTTCGTCCGTTATTACTAAGCGTTTCTGAAAACTTCAAGGAACAGCGTGAGTCCGAGCGTAGCAAGAGCTGGGCACTAACGGTGTACGAGACGTGGCTAACACCGGCCATAGGTCAATAGCGTGCCTTTTAATCTAAAAACGCTAAGTAGTGCAGCTTAACCATTAATTGCAAAAGTTCAACTACGTACTCGGACGATTCTTAGATTGTTCTAA